AATCTAATTTATTGATGCTGAATTGTTTGAGAATCCTTTAATGGTGGTTTTGATAGGAAGATCTTGTTCCAGTAAATACTCATGTCTATAAAGGAAATTGTACAGTTTCCTGTATAATAACACTGTGCTACGATGCAACAGCAGTATGTTACTGTACAATAATGTGTCTGTACAAGGCAGAAATGTCTCTTACTCATACAATAGTGCTGGAGGGGGCAAATATTATGAATCAGAGCATATTTTCAAATAATTAATCTTTTATTATTTTTATGAAGCTGTTCTCATTGTTTAAGAAAGATGTGTTCAAGCCTTTTCGCTCATTCCCATTCCACAACATGGGGTAGAAATCCAAGATGCTGCAATACTTTAATTTCAGCTTTTTATCATGTACCTTTGCAATCTCTATAGGCAAAAAATAAAAATAAAAATTAAAAAAAAAAGCAGTCTGTGGCTAGCCAATCACCTACAAAATACTGGCAGCCAGGAAGTAGTAGCTTTGATTCTATTTGGCAAGCAAAATAAATAAAGAGCATAATTATGCTAATCAGAAAGCCAGACTCTAGACAACTTGTAAAGCTGTGAGGGTATTGAGCCAAATACCCAGAGAGATACCTGCATTACTGAGCTAGCACATGGCACCTGGAAAATCTGTTATTACAGGAATGGTTATGGAGTCGTTTTCAGAAGTGGTGACATTAATTCCTTTCAACAGTTTGACAAGGCAGGGTAGAAAAGAAAACATAAGCCCAAGACCCACAGCAAAGTTTAGGTCTTTACTAAAGTGTGTTGTTATAAGTTACTGACATTTTCTTTATGCTAACAGTAGGAGTTCAGAAAGTAAAATTTACGTGAATACAACTTTAATTCAAGGCTGTGCACAAAAGAAGGTGATTTCCCAAATTCATGGAGATGCCATGAGGCTCTGAGTATTTATTTTCATTTGTTGATAATGTAACATCATGGAAACAGGAACGCTGTCAGAGGATGAGGAGCCGTGCTGCTACTTTTTGTTCACTGACTTTTGTTCTCTATTGCCCAACTCTAGAGATGGAAGCAAATCCTGCCCTCGAATCATAGGAAGAGGAGCACCTCATTACCAGGCAGGACACTCCGCACGTTGTTCTGTCACAGGCATTATTTCTGTGATTTCCCGCTATGACCAGAAGAGGGCGTTCTTTCCCTTTGGAACCCAGACACGAAAAATGAAATAAAAGCTTTTGAAAAACCTAAGTAATTTTTGCAACTATTCTTACGCATTTTCACTAAAACTTTTTGAAGTTTAAAGATTGAACTATTTAAAAAGATGGCATTTCACTCTTGCAGTTTTTTAAGTCAGTTTAAGGCTTGCTACACAAATTTTCTTAGTATTTTTATGGATTCTGTAAGATGTGCCTTATTTCCTCCACCAAGAGTAAATAATTTGCACTAATGAGAGTCTGCCTCTTTTGAATTCCCTTTACTGTAGATGTATTTATTTAAGAAAGGTATTTAGCAATGCCTTCCCCTTAGGGCAGATTTCTATAACAAATGTGAAAATACCAGCTTAGCATGTTTTAGATATTATTTCCTCAGTCAGTGAGACATCAGATAAATTCTTTGCATGTGAGCTCAGTTCTTCTGGCTGTAAAACAATTATTTCAACTCTAGCAGCATAGACTGAAGCGTAGCTGAGTATTATGAAAGCAACCTGCTCCAATTATTAAGTGACAGCCTTTCCCTTTTGATACTGCTGTTGTGCCTCTCAGTCATGTATTTACAGGCCTGAACATTCAATTGGAATGGCTGCAGCCTCAGCAGTTTTGAGAAACAACTTATTTGGAAGTCAGATTTAGAAGCTTGACATTTTGGGAATCTTATCCATAATCCTTACAACGTAGGCTGACATAGCAGATACTTTCACAGTGTATTTGGGTTGCAATTACTTCAGATCTTTTTCTCCTGATTTGGAGAACTAAGGCTGGCAAAGGGAATATTGCCTTAACTTCGGGCAACAAAACAGTCGATCGCTCTCGCTCCATCTCTACAACTGTTTTATAAGTTATAGGCCTAGTAAGTGTGCTTAAGTGTCAAGAGGGCTTCCCAGTGAGGGAAGCCATGTCAGATCTGAAGAATATACTTGAAAGTATTGTTCTCCATTCAATTCTTAAAGTTGTCGGTCCAAAGTAATCTGTGCACATTTCTCTTTAAATCTGATACGAAAGTATCAAATATCTCAATTTTGTCAGAACTTAAGTTGAATAATAAAGGATGAGTTCAAGTTCATGTCTTTTATTGCTTAACTGACAAGAGAACTTGCATATGGAGGCTCTAAAAGTGGAGCAACACATAAGAAAAGGGTAGCGACCCAAAATACACTGGCAAAGAACTGGCACCACTCTAGCTGTCCTGTCTGTTGGACTAATGTTATTGAGTCTGTCTTTCTATGTGAAAACTGAGTGCTGTCCAAAACAAGAAAGAAAAAACCCATTTTGGTCCTTCAGCTGACATGGGAACCAAGAACACTTGCCTGCCAGGAGTTATGCAAACTGTGGAAGTTAGAAAATATCTGCTATTCATGAACAAGTGGCTTGAAGTTAACAATAGAGAAAAAAATTCCAAGTGGAAACATAAAAGAAATGGCTACATCCTGTGTTAGCTGGTAAATCACAGAAATGAAGAACAAATACAAAAATTCAAACCAAGAATGCAATTTCCACAATATCCTTCCTTCTCTTCCCTTACTTACCCCTCCCCTCTCACTGGGTCATGAGAATGTTTCTTTATTTGAGACAACACCCTACTGTGAGGGCTATATGTGTTTTTCTAATTGTGCTGTGTCTGCCAGTCAATCTGTACTACAGAAACAAAATGTCCCACTCTTCCATCTCTCACTGGTATTCCAAGATGCTGTATGAAGTGAAAACTAATAAAATAGCTTGGCATCTTTAGACTGCATGAAGTAGGAAAAGTTTTATATCCTTTAAGAAGCTACAGCTAAGGTGAACTTGTTCACAGCCATGTTATACAACAAACAACAGCTCACATATCACCAGAAGCACAGCTGTGGTTAGCAGGGACCTCTGGGTCCTTCTAGTCCAGCCAGAGCTCCAGCAGAGACACCAGGGCAGGTGCCCATGGCCAGGTGCCTTCTGAAGATCTCCAAGGAGGAGAGCCCACAACCTCTGGGCAGCCTGGGCCAGTGCTGTCACCCACACTGTAAAGCAGTAAAGTCCCTCACTGGAATTCTACTATTCATTTGAATTATTTAGAAGTCCTCACAGAGAAGATGCAAGAAGGATTAATTACAGTGTCTGAAGTTCCCAGAAAGTGTATAGTCAGTAAAATGACTCATTTTATCTGTTGATTTTTTTTTCCTTCTAAATTTGACTGGTTGGGGTAACAGCTGAGGGGGGTGGGGGGGGAGGGAAAGAAAATGGCACCACCCTTTATGACTTGATTTTATCTGTTTTTCAGTCTGTGGTCAAGCACTTACAACCTTTGTCTGATAATTCAACACCCCAGTGCTCTCATGAGATAACACTGGCTTTCGAAATCTTTCTTGGAGTTTACTTCCTGGGAAAAGTGATGAAGAAGGATCTAATTGTGAGATTATCTGGTATTTTGAAAGGACTTGGACTTTATCAACTGCATGAAAATGATGATAATCACAAGTGAAAGCACTTGTACAAAGCAGTTGGCTGATCTTCCTTTATTCCATGTCTTTTAATCCCTTTGGATGATGAAGTTTCTGAAGTGTGGCACTCTGCGAGTAGAGTGTTTCTGACCATGGAGCAGCCCCAGAAGGTACTGGACAGGGACTTTAACATGGATTTTCAGTAAGTTGTGCTATGTGATGAATCCTTGTGGCCCTTTTCCTCTGTTGTCTTAAAGAAAATGTGTTTGAGGCACTCCAGAGAAAAAGGAGACTCTGAGGATCTGCTGATCTGTTTCCAGTCCTTTTGCTTGTAGGACTGCTGGAGTGCTTTATGAAGTTAAGGACTCAGTGACTGTATCAATCTTCACTTACAAAAAGAGCATTTTATCTGTTATTTGTTCTGATAAATGATGAGGAAGGATATCCATTAACACCTTTGTACACAATGTGTGGGACTACTCCTGTCCACGTGCACTCAGTGGAACAATTCTGGACAGTGACAGGTTTCCAAACATCTCTCCATCTTGTTACTTCTGTGAAGATTTATGTAAAAATCACAGAATGGCCCAGGTTGGAAGGAACCTAAAGAATCATGAATCTCCAACTCCCCTGCCACATGCAGGGCCACCAACCTCCGCATTTAATACCAGACCAGGCTACCCAGGGCCCATCCAACTTGGCCTTGAACACCTCCAGGGATGGGTGTCCACAACCTCTCTGGGCAGCCTGTTCCAGCACCTTATCACTCTTTTGGTAAACAACTTCCCCCTGACATCCAACCTAAATCTTCTCTCTTTCCCCTTGTCCTGCTGTTATCTTCTCTTTCAAAGAGTTGACTTCCCTCCTGATTATAGGCTACCTGTAGGTACTGAAAGGCTGCAATGAGGTCACCCTGCAGGTGTGCAAGGGGAGCTAATTATTCTAATTGCTTGTACCTGCCATTAATATGTGATTCATAGTCCACATGATAACAGAAATAGTGTCACTTGGTAGTAGCAAGCAACTCAGGCCAGATGGGATGTAATTAGCAGCGAACTGTGTTGAAATAAAATTACTCTTTAATGTGAACGTTTGCAATACCGAAGAAGCTCTTTGCACGAAGCGGGTTCTCAGCCCCGCTCAGTGGGAACAGAGCTGCCACCGTCTGACAGCACTGCCCAAGAGGGCGTCTTGCAGGGAAAGCGGTGCACCCGGCGGGTGCCGCTCCAAGTCCCGAGCGCTGCGGGTACTCGGGTCGGGCCCGGCCACGGGAGGGCAGCAGCCGCCACCCCCGGACCCGCCCGCCGGGGTTGGGAAAGAGCTGCGGCCCGGCCCTGAACTCGGCCGGCAGCGGGCGGGGCTGAGGCGGGGCGGCCCGGTCCCGGAGGCGCCGCGGAAGAGGGAAGCGGCGGGGCGGCGATTGCGGCTGAAGCGGCGGCTGGGACAGCGGCATGGCGGTGCAGGGCTCGGCGGGGGACGCGGCGCTGAGGCGCGAGGCCGAGCGGTGGCTGCAGTGGGACAAGGTGAGGCTGCGGGCGCCCTGCCGGGTTTCGCTCTTGTTCCTGACCGCTCCTGTTGCAGAGCGAGCTGCCGGACGCGCAGCGCTCAGGGTGGGAGCGCGCTGCTGTGCCGTGCCTCGGAGCCCCTCCGAGCTCCCGGGTCCTCCGTGTTTTGTTTGCTGAAGCGCCGTTTCCAGCCATCCGCGTGGGCCTGCCTCAGTGCCGGGAGTCCCGCTACCCGTCCGGCCATCTCGCTGGCGTGCGGGCTGCTGGGCGTCTCTGGGGTCTTTTTCTGCCTTTCCCTGCTGTTGCTGTAGTGTGCGTCTTGTCTGTTCCTGCGGAGATGTTCGGACACCTGAAGACGTCTCTTTGCTTCCGTCTGCTTTGACCCTGACCGTGCTGCATGTAGACGGAAAAGCATCTCTTTATTTCCATATTCCACATGTCTAAACAGACTTCCTGCGTGGCTGTGCTCTGGGAATGCTGACGGAGCTGCCCGTCGCTGCATTTCCTGCGCAGATCGGGCCTGGCTGTGCTATGGGTGGTTGGCGCTTGGTGTCCCTACACATGGCAGTCGTTCACTTGGAGCACGCTGTCCCCGCGGTGCTGTCAGTGGCTGCCCTTTGCCCATTGCCGCGCAGTTCGTAGGTAGCGGTGGTACATGCTGCTTTGGTCCATTAAACTGCTTACTTCAAGGCTATTCTCAAAAGCACAGAACATATACATATATATATATATATATGCGAGGTTATCTTCTCAAATTTCAATAAGCTTTTGTGTAAGTTTTTCTCAGTTTAATGGATTTTTGAGAGAACAGTCTGGTTTCAAGGGTGCCTGATATTAATAAGATAACTTCTCCAACTAATGTTAATTATTTTCCAGTCTTCTGTCTAATCATTTTTATTGGTGATTCCAATTATCTCATGAATTCCTACTGAAGTCTAATTTGACATCCCCTGAAGTATCTGTACCTTTTTGGAAGGTGTGCTCTTGGTTAGTAGTAGCATCTTTGACTGCAGTACTACTTGACCAGTATAGAAAGCCTCATTGCTGATTGCTCAAAAACAGTAAGGCGTCATTGCTGTGCTTCTGTCATTTCACTTGCCAGGGAGAAATTCCTACAGTGTTTGCACTGAGCAATACCTTTAATCCAATATAACCCTTGTCCATTTACACTATTTTTTTTTTAAGAGACCCCTTCATGGCAAGGATAGCTTTTTAATTTGAAGGGAGAAGTTAATATTTAATGATGATAAGCTGCATGTTTCTTGCAAAATAGTAGTTTGCAAGAGCAAACCCTTGCGTATGGAAATGGCCCTGCTGACTTTGCTGAAAGGTTTTACCTAGGTAACAATTACTGTGTATATTACAGGCTATTTCATCACCATATGTGTTACGGAAGTATCATATTTTTCTTATTATCATGCATAAAATCATGGATAGAAGTTGGCTTCTGTTTTTATTAAAAATAAAACTTGTTTACTCAGTACCCATCCTGATACTTCAAAAACACTGGAAGAACTTTTGCAGTGACGGAACATCTCTGGGGCCTTCAGTTCACGTGGGTTCAGCTAAATAACTTTTTGAGTGAGGAGGTAACATTTGGGCAAGTTGCACTGATAGTTTGTCCTTGTATCATAACACCTGCTGCTGTAATCAGAGGGATCAATATTCTCATACTCTTGTCCTGTTCCTGCAAGGAAGATTAAGTTGCCAGCATTCCTGGACTGGTAAATTACTAATTCTTAAACTGGAAGTCAATAATTCAGGGGTACTTAATTGCTCAGTGGAAAAAACAATTCTTTTTTCTTCAGTGGTATTCTGCAGTATATAGTTTGCTGATTATCAGCGAAGGCTCACTAGCTTTTATTTAGACTGTCATGCCTGCCCTTCAGCAGGTGCATAGATCAGTAATTAGGGCAGGCTGTGCCCACAAATGATGAACGTATTGTAATGTTTAAGAAAAACACAGTTGGATTGCTTGGGAATCCAAACTGGTATCAGTTTGCACAGAGTCCTTACATCTTTATATAAAAAGTTCACTCCCATGACTGCTTTATGCATGTTCTTCAGCTGCAGAAAAAAAAATACAGAGAGAGATTTATTTTTTTGCCCAAGATGATCTGCTAGGCCTTCCTTTGATCTCAGCATATCTAAGTTATCCAAGAAACAATCAAGTCCCTGACCTTCTCGAGGTCAGTTGGTTGACCAGGAATCAAAGCTTATGTTCATTTGGAAATAATAATCTTTGTACTCCAGCATGAAGAGCATGTAATGGTGCTGTGAGTAACCCGAGGAGCACGCTGCTGCTTTGCATAACACTGTTGCTTGGTGGCTGGAGAGTGCCATCTGTCCTCCTGGCTCATCAGCATTCAGGGAATTGAACTGATTTTAAGCCTGACAAATCCCACGTTATTGAGATGTTGGGGCATACAAGGCTTCACTAATTCCAAAAATGAAGAGCTGGTAGGAGTTGTATCATGCAAGCAATACACCAACAAAAGGAGGAAGACAGAAAAGAAACTTTTCATCATTCATAACAGGTAGGATGGGACCTTTCTCTTGCTGCTCTGCACAGTGTGAGATTTGCTTGTAATAGTTTGGCTGTAATCATGAGTGTGGCACTTCATGGATTTGCACAAGCACTACTCACAAATATATTTCATGCCAATTATTTATCTCCTGACCAGTCTGTTTTTTTACTGTCCGTCTTGTACTGACTTTAAATTCAGGAAATGTAGCAAAAGTTCTGGGGTTCCCAAAGCAGTGCACTATGTTGTAATACCAAAATAAGCCAGCAGAGATCGTGGGGAAGGATGTCAGTTCTATTAAGAAGCCTAAATGTGTTTAAAAAAAAAACAACAAACAAAACAACACCAAACAAACAACAACAAAACACACACGTGCAAAAAAACACTTTTAGAATATCTGAATTTTATATCTACAGAATCCCAAAACTTCTGCAATAGTGAAGGAACTAGTTGCTGAAGGAAATGTGGGAGAACTACAGAAATACTTTGGCTCACGAATGGAATTTGGCACAGCTGGGCTGAGAGCTGCCATGGGAGCAGGAATTTCTCACATGAATGACTTGACTATTATCCAGACAACTCAGGTATTGTATTCATCGTATTATTTCATTCAACTGGTTGGATCCAGGAATGGAAGGGCCTCACTTATGACAAGCAAATGGACATTCTAGGGAAGTACGTGGTTTTTACTAATAAAAAAGAAAAAGGAGGAAAACAGAGCTAACCAGCATTTGGCTGAACTTACATACATATATAGGTGCTGTATCTTGGACTGCTGGTGTATCATTGTATCATGACCTAAACAAGCATCCTTTCATTACTAAGGGTGAGATTCAATTCTGTCTTAGTGCCAACTGGGATGCATTTTTTTTCAGTGTCTGGTATGATGCCATGTTGTGGCTCTTGGAGAAGAATGATGTTGATAACATACCGATATTTATAGTTCCTGTTAAGCAGTTGTAGAGTGAATGACTGTGTGGTGCTGAGCCACCCACAGGGTTAAACCACAACTGAAATGTTGGCCAGTTGTTCACTTCCTTATCTGATATCTTAAAGAATTAATAATTTCTGTATCTGCAGATGAGACTAACCATGTTACCTGGTTCTTTCTGGAGCTGGTTCTGATTTTTGGAAAAGTGCTTAAATGCTGTCAAATTTTATTATTTTGATTTGAAGGTTTTTGTCATTTCATGATGTTTATTGATCCTGAACTGAATCCCAATCCAGTTCAATGAGATGTGTGCAGTGAGATGTCAACATCTTAGCAGTCATCTTAATCCAATGAGAAATGAAATGCTGAGATCATATTAATGAAGTGAATTTGTTATTGCCTTCAGGGATTTTGCAGATACCTTGAGAAGAATTTCAGTGACCTAAAAAAGAGAGGAGTTGTGATTGGATTTGATGCTCGTGCCCACCTTTCAAGTGGAGGTAGTAGCAAAAGGTACTTTTCAGGTAGTATTTTATAGATGTCTTACATGATTCTTCATGGTCTTATAATTGCTTCAACAGCATTTTCTCTTTCTCTGGAAGGAATTTGAAGGATTTATAGTATTTTTATTTTCTTAATACCAAGGCAGTTTTTATCGTTGTGTTTTGTCTTTAAGGAATGGGGAAGGAACACATTTAAGTTGTGTATAATGATTTCCTTTATTTTATTAATTGGAGTGAGGGGAGGAAAAACTGAAATTCTAGGGAACAAATGGATGAGAGAATGAATATATTTCCAAGGCTTCTTTTCTTATTGTTTAGGTTTGCAAGACTCGCTGCTAATACATTCATCAGTCAGGGAGTTCCAGTTTATCTCTTCTCTGACGTAACACCAACACCTTTTGTGGTATGTTTCTCTATTAATCTTTCTATATGCATACAAATTCTGTGAGATATCAAAAATTAATACTTATATTAAGGAAAAGTAGACAAAACATCTTGAACTTTTTAAGTTCTAACTGCTTAGACTGCTTGCTTTATGTTTACTTAGCTACGTTTGATTTCCAACATCCATAGCAGTAAAAGAAAGAAGCTGAGTAGAATATCTGTGACTGTGGGTGCCCAGTGACAGTATTTGTGCCCATTCATGCTTTTGGGCACATTTCTTGAAGAAGTCATTTCACAGTCACTAGCTTAACAGTGATAGAATATCCTGAGCTGAAAGGGACCCATGGTGATCTTAGAATATCTGAGTTGGAAGGATAAGGATATGGAGGGATGGAGACTTAGTATGTAAATGCTTGTATTGATACAAAGTTTGGTAGATTTAAGGCTGCATTCTTCACAAGACAAGTTAAAGCAGCGTTGCATGAGATGCAGCTGATTGTATTTGCTGTTAAACAGCCAGAATTGAACTTGAACTGGACCTCTAGTCATGAATAAGGCTTTATTTTCAATTGACTCTATCTGCTTGGACTAGTTTATAATAGCTCTCTCCAATCATAGAATCACTATAATCACAGAATCACCAAGGTTGGAAAAGACCTACAAGATCATCCAGTCCAACCATCCACCTATCAGCAATATTTCTCACTAAACCATGTCCCTCAACACAATGTCTAAACGTTCCTTGAACACTTTCATGGTTGGTGACTTCACCACCTCCCAGGGCAGCCCATTCTAGCACCTGACCACCATATTTCCTAATGTCCAGCCTCAGTCTCCCCTGGTGCAACTTGAGGCAATTCCTTCTAGTGCTATCATTGGTTACAGAAGAGTCCGACTCCCATTATAGACAGCAATAATGTCACCCTGAGTCTCCTCTTCTCCAGACTATATAATTGCAGCTCCCTCAGTAGCTCTTCCTAAGGCCTGCGCTCCAGAGCTCTCACCAGCTTAGTTGCCCTTCTCTGGACACACTCCAGGGCCTCAATGTCTTTCTCATAGTGAGGGGCCCAAAATTGAACACATACTCGAGGTGTGGCCTCACCAGTGCTGAATACAAAGGTTCAGTTACTTCCCTGCTCCTGGTAGCAGTACTATTTCAGGTACAAGACAGGATGCTGTTGGCCTTCTTGGCCACCCGGGCACCCTGCTGCATCATGTTCAGCTGAGCATTGACCAGGACCCCCAGGTTCATTTCCTGTTTCAAGAACTGCTCTCACAAGATGATATGGATGAGAATGCTGCAGTTTTAGTTCTGGTTGCCCTCCGCAGACTTCTGTCGTTACCCCAACACTTTAACTCTTAAAGATCTGAAGTGTTTCATGTCATTCTGAAGCACACAACAGATGCATTCAGCTTCCTTCTGTAAAAATGTTACTCCAGTAAGCCTATCTGAAACAGCACTAAATACACTTGGTATGTTTATGGTAAATGTCAAGTAATGGCAAGAGCTAAGGCTGTATCACATGGATCCTGGTGGAGCAAGTGTAGCTGTTCCTTTAGGGATTCAGTCTGCAGGAATCATATCCTGACCTTTTTATTTGGCAGTATGGAAGCATTCTCATTTACATACCATAAAATCTCCTGTAATGTTTTTCATATTCCAGTTCAGTTAATCTTTTCTCTTTACAGCCGTATACGGTAACTCATCTGAAGCTTTGCGCTGGAATTATGGTTACAGCTTCCCATAATCCAAAGCAAGATAATGGTTACAAGGTATTCCTAAATGACCTATTTTTTTCATTTTTGTTATTTTTTAATCATTTTTTCCATGTAGAGATATTAATACCATTGTATGCAGTTCCTACTGTGTTATTGACGAAATGAACAGGTAATAGGATTCTTGAGATCTAGATCTAAACAGTGACGTGTTACAGTAATAACATAATTAATATCTTTGCTCTATAAAGCAGAAAGATAAGTATAGTTCTGGAACTTTTGGAATGCTTTAAAATATTTAATAAGCTTAATGAGTTGCTTGTAAAAAATACTTGGATTGAATTCCATTAATTTCACATAGCATATTTTTTTCTTTTGCTAAATGATACAATTATCAGTGTGCTTTTTTTGTGTGTGTGTTTCAAGAAACAAATGACAGGTGGCTGAGTGGCCTGTCTGCCAATCTCATACCTGGACTAGTCATATACAGACTGTTCCAGAATACAAAAACAGAAGTTAGGAAGTCTTTCTTTGTCTTTTACAATAGAAAAGCGAGGTATCAGACAAGATGGTTTCTCCCTGTCTGTTCCTTCAGAACTTCTGTTTGAACTGTCCTTTTTTCTGTTTAATGTATTAATCTTGGCAGCTTTTTCACATCCGTTTGGATGTTTCATCAATTACTTTGTTAATCAACTTAATTTTTGCTGGTGTTTTTGTTATTTGATGTACATGTATACATGACCCAGGTGCTGTTAGGTGTATTTCCTTAAAGATGTAGCTTGCAAAACATCAGTAGGAGGAAGTGTGCAAACAACTGTCTAAATTAAAACACAGTTCTGTTTATAGATAAGCATAAAACCTGCTCTTGGATGTATAAGCAATTTTTTAAAAATAAAGGACTGCAGGTAAGGAACATCTTGAAGCTCACATGAATTTGTGCTTGCTGTTATGGCAACACTGCTGCTGTAGACAGCTGCAAGGTTCTTGTGCCTTCTTTCTTAGTTCTTTTTCGTAGAAAAGTGTTTCATTTTTATTTTGACACTTTTTTCCTCTAAAGTATTGTTTTATATTTCATGATTATCTAAAAATTGAGAGGAAATATCTTGGGGAATTTATCAATTCCAAAGCTAGCAGACAGGTTGATATTTGAATCTTCTCAGTAAGTGAGCTGAGCCTTGTTTTGTGTTTCATTACGAATTTCAGCATGCTCTGATAAAGCTTAATAGCTTTTTTGTAGAACAAAAATAGGACTTCAGGGGAAACATTGAGAATAAGAACAGAGAATTACTCTGGTTATTCTTCAGTGGAATTGACTGTAATACTCTATCAAATACATCTTAGCCAACAAAAAATGGCAAAACTATTCTACCGTATTAATGACAAAAATGAGCTCTTACCCTTGTTATCATTCAGGTTTACTGGGAAAATGGTGCTCAGATAATTTCCCCTCATGACAAAGGAATTTCTCAGGCCATTGAGGAGAATAAGGAGCCGTGGCCTCAGGCTTGGGACGATAAACAAATTGACAGCAGTGCGCTACTCCATGACCCGTATGCCACTATCAATAAGGAATATTTCAAAGACATACAGAAACAATGCTTTCACAGGTAAGTAGTGTTAACTCTGTTAAGAATACGGGATTTTTCATGGCAGTTAAAGGCAGCTGTGATTCTGCTGTATTTTCCCTCCCTGTATTTGCATTCTTGTGATCTTTTGTGGTAATACTGGCAGCTGTGTCATTACATAGTAAGTCAGTTCATAAACTTAGTCTGGCAAGAATCTGAACCAGTAAGGTGGGTGATTCCTTTCTGATTGGATTATCTTCCTGTGATAATATGACTGTGCATCAGCCAAATGGGGCTACTGTGTGCAGCTAGGGGAAAGCTAAGGGTTGATGCTGACTATGAAATTTAATGTTCTGGGGTTACAGCTTTAAAGTGGGCCAGACTGGTCTGACAGAAGGAGGTCATACTCTGTCATTCTTGCATATGTTTCTGGTGACTTTGAGAGCCTTGCACATATGTATTGATGTCACTTGCTTGATATAAACTTTACTCAAGAAAATTAAGTGGATGTTTCTTTTTGTAAATTAAATGAGCAGCAACCTGTTAATCACAATCTTAACTATCCGTGATCAGATGGCTTACATTCCAGAGCTGGGGATGAGGAATCAGTCAATTGTATTTATTTTCCACTCACCTCCTTTGGTGTGTATAGAGTGTATTACTGTCTTTCCAGTAATTTGCATGTACCAGAACAATGGATACCTACAGTGTATGGGAACTGCTGAGTCATGGCCTGAACCTCTGATCACCTGAGGTGAGCCATGAGTCAGCCAGAGGAGCACAGGTGAAGGCAATTCACCTGTGCTGCTGGAAGGGGTGGAGCCAGGCTCCATCCCTCCTAGACCTATTTAAGAGCTGGCTACCAGAGGGGAAGGATCTCTTCTGGAGATCACCTCTCTTGGTGTTTTGTGGTGAGCTCAGCTGAAGGGTAAGCTCTTCTACTTATTCTCTTTTGTTATCGTTGTCTACTTTGCTTAACTCTCTTGATTATATTGTGATTATAACATCTTGATATCTATTGATTATACATACAGTAACTCGCAGATCTGAAAAATGAGGTTAAATCAATCTAGAAGTCGTTGCCTTTAAAAAATGGCCTCTTTAGTTTATCATGTTAACAGTACCATAGAATACTGAGTCACATAGGTTTCTGAACATAGTGAATTTTCATGCTGAATGTTCTGTCATACTCAAGTTTTTATTATTAATCTCTTTTATTTCAGGAAAATAAACAAGGAAACAAACCTGAAATTTGTTCATACTTCTGTGCATGGTGTAGGTCATAAATTTGTGCAGCTGGCCTTCAAGGCATTTGATCTTAGACCTCCTTTTGCTGTTCCAGAGCAGAAGGATCCTGATCCAGAATTTCCCACAGTGAAGTATCCAAATCCTGAAGAAGGCAAAGGTGTTCTGGTAAATACATATCATTAATATTTCTTAATATTCTAAATACAGTGCATATGTGTATTTCTGAGAAGCTGCAATGTCTCACTGTTTATTTCTGGTTATTTTTACATTTATCAAAGAATTTCCTGGTATAATTTCATTAAAATTCGTAACTCTCTATGAGGCAGTCAGGTAATAATTATCCATAACTTTAAACTGTACTTTGTTCTGCTAACAGAATGTGCAGCATCTGCACCTAGAGCAAAGTGATAGAATTCCTATTTAAAAGAATGAATAAAAAGTAGAGATCTTCATAGTCAATTTTTAAAAGTTTTTACAGCTCACATCTGAAATACCAAGGCTGAAATTGTTCTCAAACTACGATTGGATCGGGGCAATCCTGACAATAAGGAGACTAGATTTTCTGATATGGGTATGATCATTTTTTTAGTGAAGATCCTACTGGCTGTAACAACAGAAGTGGAATGGTGTAGGTGAAGTTAAATATCCTGCCTGTGCTCTGCTCTTGCCAGGCTTCTATCTGTGAATTGGTTACATGTTGTTTGAGACTCATCATGCAGTTGAGTGAAATTAAATAAACTGGGAAAGTTATTTGAAGTCTGTAAGGGATGTGAAAATATTTGGGAGTATTAACACTTTCCTGATGTTGCTTACCACTTTTTCAGACCTTATCTTTTGCTCTGGCTGAAAGAGATGGGGCAAAAATCATTTTAGCAAATGATCCAGATGCTGATCGACTTGCAGTGGCAGAGAAACAAGAAAGGTATGGCAACAAATAAATACAACTATTTTGTGTTGCAGAGGAAGGCAGAATAGTTACATTTGTCCTTTTTAGACTAAAACCATATAGAAATATGAGGGGGCTGTATGCAGAAAATCACAGTGGTAACTTAAATAATGATTAAAATTAGACTCCACAAGAAAGCCTGAATACTTATTTGACATTTGCACTTGAGGTATGCACGGAGATATGTGAGCTGTTATGAATGCTCTTCTTCTTTAAAGCTAGGTTTTCAGATAGAAATGTTTCAGAAGACTGATGAGCATACTTCCATATTGTGTTTACTGAGAAATAACTTGAATGTTCTGCATAACTTCTGTAGTTACCAGATAATCTCAGGAATAAAGAATAATTGGTTTGTTTGTTGGTCTTGGCTTTCCTGTTTGTTGGGCTTAGGTTTTGGTTTTTTACCCTTTCCTTTCATAGCATGATCTAAGGAGGCTTCTCTGCCTAAGTAGGATGAGCTAACTGGCACTCTCCACTGTATCTCCTGTCTCAGCCTTAGCTGGGAACTGAGCAGTGAGGAAAATCCATTAAAAGCTTTAATTTGTGCTAGTTATAATGGGTTAAAGCAAGAACACAAAATCACCCATGCTTTTTGTCTTAAAACTTATGGCTATGGGATACTTAGAAGGGGTGTTAGTTTATTGTATGCACCACTACTGAGAGCGTAGTGCTCTCATTCTCCTGCTGCTTTGCTAATTGTTTAGCCAGTCTTAATAATTATCTAACTTTTGATCCTGCATTATGTCTAAATTCCACTGAAGCTTTTCATACACTAATCAAATACTAACACAGGCTTCTATGGTATCTGTACTTCTTTGACAGAAACCTCTGCTAGGACACATTCTTATGCTAAATTGTTGCTGTGCATTGCTTAATGCCTGCTGGCATCAGTAAGTGCAGGAGGTGCATCTGCTTTGCTTTCACAACAGGTATTTTTACTGTAGGTCTCGATTTTTGTCAGTCTGACAATGTCTGTCTTCCCTTTCATGACTGGGATTTTCTGGGTAATTTTGACATCTGCTTTTTCTTTTTACATTCAATTTTTCCTGTTCGAACCATGGATATGTATGGGTGTTTTTTTCAGTGACAGATTGAAGTATTTGTCATTAAAAGAAATATTTGTCACCAAGTCGACCAAAAATACTGATCACATGAGAACTGTACTTTCATGTCTGTGCATGTCTGTAATCATTGGTTTTTTAAATTTGTATCTGGGTTGGTTTTTTTGTGTGTTTTTTTTTTTTTTTTTAAATTTAAAATATGCCAGAAATATCACTTTTTTTGTATTTTCATAAACTCATTAGCTGGTGCATATGATAGAGGAGGACAATAAGCATTCCAGGATTCTTTGGGGAATATATATATTTTTTTCTTAATGAACATGAGGTATCTTGTTACTGTTACTTGGAATTCAGATGTAGTTTTATTTGCCATTTTTCATAAATGTAAGAACCGGTAAAAGTTTTTCCAGTACTGTCCTTTAAATTCTTAATTTTTTTTTTCTCTCTCTCCAGTGGTGAATGGAAGGTATTTTCTGGAAATGAGCTGGGAGCTCTGTTAGGTTGGTGGATCTTCACTTGCTGGAAAAATCAAAATAGGGATGCTTGTGCCATTAAAGATGTCTACATGTTATCAAGCACAGTTTCTTCCAAAATCCTGAGAGCAATTGCACTAAAGGAAGGTTTTCACTTTGAGGTAGGTTGTTAGAAGATCACTGGATGTACTTTGATTTGCTTTCCTACTAATTGCTTTTATTTTTAAAGTCTGTGGGGTTTTTGTCATCACGTTTGTAGGAGACGCTGACAGGTTTTAAGTGGATGGGGAACCGTGCCAAGCAGCTCATGGATCAAGGGAAGGCTGTTCTTTTTGCATTTGAAGAGGCGATAGGTAAGAAAGTATGCTATGTTCTGGTAGCCTTTAAAATAGTGAGAGTGTTCTACTCTCAAAAAATGGCAATGCTGACCTTAATGGGAGTTATTGATATCATCCACTTGGGTGGCTGGTATTACTAGTATGCAATCCTAATCTCTATGTAGCACCAACTATGGTGATGTGAACTCGGTGTCTATAAGTCTTTAGCCAGTACCATTCTCTACAAGTTTTTGAAAAAAGGCGCATTTTTTAGGCTTCAAATGGGGTATTTGTAGCTGACATCTTTAAGCTAAGTTTAACCATGAGCAAAATAAAGTAAAACATCCCTCAAATAATATTAGTAAGATGCAAAGATGTGTGTAAGCTGAAAGTACATGAGACAAAAATTTTAAAGCTGTCATGCAATTTCTTGAGTATCTCAGTATCTGCAAACAGTGAAAATGTGAGTATATAATGGATAATTCTCAGTGTTACCATATACTGCTGTGGAGGGGTAATCGCACTTCAGAGTCTTGCACTTGCACTGTTCTAGTAGTGTGGCATTTCTTTTTTTATAACAGTTCCAAAGATATTCAGGAGCACATGGCACTAATATAAAACAAATCTGTGCTGAAAACTCATTAAATGCTTTACTTATTGAAATTAATTTTGATTACAAGAGAAACAATTTTTCAAATCTTCGTCTATGCTGAATAAACAGCATAGAATTAAACCAAAAATAAATACTATGGCAGTATTCAGTTCTCCTTTAAACAACAGCCTGTCTTACACTCCACTCCTATTGCTATCCCCCCAGTACTATCTATTATTCTAACTTTAAAAAAAAAATCCATCAAATCTGTAAATAATATTTTTCTTCATTTAGGGTATATGTGCTGCCCTGCGGTTCTGGACAAAGATGGTGTCAGTGCTGCCGTTATAACTGCAGAGATGGCTAGCTTTTTGGCAACCAGGAATTTGTCTTTGTCTCAGCAGCTGAAGGCTGTCTATGATGAGTGAGTTTGATTATAATTGTCTAATATCAGATTTTCTCCATTCCACGTAAGTTGCTTAATAGCAATTTATGGTATACAAAGAAACAAAGACACAGGTGTGGTAACAGTGATCTGGTGAGCTCTCCTATGTCAGGAGTTACATACATGACTTGGTTTTGTGTAGTTTTAAAGTATTGATTACCTTCCTAGCTCTTACTCTGTTAAAGAGATGTTTGTAACATTTTCTAGTTTTTCTGATTGATTTCTCCCATTTGAAAAGTTTGGCTCTTGAGCACTGCTCTTTCTTGTACAAAAGATTGGACTTTGTTTTGTTTTGTTTCCCCAGCAGTATTGGTGCACTGTGGAGCTCATAGTGCTTAAACACACCAGATGCACAAAAATATTAATGGCAGAATGTGTCTAAATAACTCTGGCATATTTATGCTGTCTACCTTATTTCTGTCCTGTTTGCACTTGTGATTAAATTAATTCTAGTTGGCACTTAGTTAGAATTTTTATTATTATTATTCTGTCTTTCATTTTTTGATCGACAGTGTATTTTCTTTCTGCTCTTGAATAACCAGATTTAAGCTGATTCAGCTCATGTGCTATGACTGGCTCTGCTTGCTATATCCAACTGGGTATTCTCCTGAAAGCTTTGAATATGAGGCACTCCTTTTTCTTTTTCCTTTAACGCGTTCCAAGACCCGCAGAAATCAATAGCTGAAATGGCTGTTGGATTCCGTGGGGCAGGGTGGTGCATTCCTTACGTGGTTTCTAGGTTGGCTGTTAAAAAGGAGAGAGCAGCACAGGCTGGTGGATACTGTCCACCCCTTCATTTCCAGTGGTGTCCCTAAGAAAGCTGTGGTGGATCTTGCAGAAAGACTCTTGGAAAACTCTAGTCTTTGTGCTTCTTGTTTCACCAGTCCTCAGAGCACCAAACATACTTGTTTCATCAAAAAATTAACAAGAAATCAGGAGCCAAAAACATCGGAAAAAACATGGAACTCATCAGCTCTTGTATATAGCAGAAGTCCGAAAACAGTACAAAACAGTAAAACAAGCAGAGAAAATCATGTCTAGAACTGCAAATATGGTATCTGACTTGGAAATTCTTCTTGCTGCTTGTAGTTGGAAGTGTACATTCAGACAGCTGGCCTTCTCTGGTATGTGCTCGCTTAAGTACTTATTCAGTAAACACCTGATTCAGGTTGCCTTCAGAATCAGGGTGTTTAACAAAGTGGAACGTAGCCATGCCACTTGTCTACTGTGTAAACAGCTGCTAAGAAGGTCGGACTTATTTAGCATGAAAGCATCCTGTAGATGCACCTCAGAGGAAGACTGTTCATGTTTCTTGCATGTGGTCACATGTGGAAAACCTGCAAATGTACGGGGAAGAAAACAACTCTGTCTTATTAACAGATGCTTGATAACTGGAAGGCAGGGCTTTTCCTGGTTTGTGTTGGAGTTATTGATGTTTGTTTATTGTTTGTGGCCAGTGTAGTGTTCCATTCTTCTGCTCCTTTCCATTCTAGTCGGGGTTATCTTGTGAACTGCTTGTAGAGCAGAAGAAACTCTGCTTAGTATTTTGGAGGTGTAGTACGCAGGGTCTGTTATCATTACTACCCCGTCTCAAAGCTGAAGTAGATAAGGAAAAGGACATAGTCCTAGCGGGTTCATCACTTGTTTCAAATATAAGGTAGGCTTTTTAAATTTCCTTGCTGGATTCTCAAGATTGATTTAACAATTACTAACCTTCAAGATGTTCACTTAAGTATAAATACGTTGCTGTTTCAGAAGCCTTCCAGATATCTAGCATAATAGTGCTAGTGAAAGCTTCTGTCCTTCAGATTTCTCCAGGCACCAAAGATTCTCATCAGCTGTTTATCTTTAGAAAGAGTCACTGAAAGAACCAGCCTAGGTTTGTATGCTTTCTAACAACATGCTGTTCTGAAAATTCAGTGCTAGCAGGCAAGTTGTTTTTGATGCAGATTCGGCATCATGCTATTTGGCAGCAAATAGATAATGTAAAGAGATGATAATGTAAAGAGATTATAGACAGAACAGTGTAGTTCAACAGAAACACTTCAACGGGAAAGCAGTTTCTGAAATATGTCTGGAAATTCTGTTGTTAGAAGAGGTCAGCTAGTGTCCACTCAAGGTTACATATTTAGACATATTTTGTTCTCTTCCTGTGTGTTTAGATCTCCTCGTGGCATCATTTTTTCTTCTGGTTTAGAAGCAAAGTTTCTCACTTTCAGTTGTTAAGGAAATTTGTATCCGGAGACCCTTCCCTCTTCAAGTATATGTAAAATGGAGCAATTGAACTGTCAAGGCATTTAAAAAATTGTAACAGGGTGAACTGATGCTACTGTTACCCACAGATTCTTGCTTTATAGAATGTTGTATTATGTGTGTGGTGTATAACTAATAAGACTGTTGTTTCTTCAGTTGATTGGTACATGTCTTCCCAGATATGGCTTCCATATCACCAAAGCTTCATATTTCATCTGCCATGATCCTGAAGTGATTCAGCAGCTTTTTGACAACCTTAGGAATTACGATGGAAAAGACACGTATCCGAAATCGTGTGGTAGATTTAAAGTTTCTGGAATAAGGGATCTAACTACTGGGTATGACAGCAGCCAGCCAGATCAGAAAGCAGTAAGTGTACTTTTAGCATACAGAATCATGTGTAAATATGTACATATACGAATATTCTACAGAGGGATACCCTATAAAACATATGTTCAAACCTGACTGTAAGTTGAATTTGATTTGTAGTGCTTGTTTTGTTTTGATGGGGAATAAATCGAGGTTAATTTTTTTTCCTTTTCTTCTGTCTCTTTTCCCATCTCCCTCTCTCTCTCTTTCCCCTCCTCCCCTCTCACCCCCAAGGTGACAGTCTGTACAGGGAGGTAGAAGGATCTTGCTGTAGTGCTGCAGCAATCCTGCATTAACTTGTTGTAAGTGTAAGCTAAGTGGTCCATGTTTATTTTTGTCCTGGGGGAAGCTTGTCACAGAACAATCTGTTTACAGTCAAAATGTTGACTAGATTTGAAATGAGCTATCTAATTGTACTGTTTAACAGCAGTTTTACTACCAGGTTGAGGGTCAGGTTGTGATTTGCCTGCTGTAGTTACAAGACTACACAGTTGATAAAGAAAACAGAACACAGCTTGCTTTTATCTGATGCATTAGTTACATTATATGAATCACACCATGCGTTTTGTCTTGAATTGATTATAGTCCCTTTGTAAATGTTAAATATATATATATTCCTACTATTTTCAGATACTTCCTACTAGTAAAAGTAGCCAAATGATTACATTCACTTTTGCTAATGGAGGAGTGGCCACAATGCGAACCAGTGGAACAGAACCAAAAATCAAATACTATTCGGAACTCTGTGCACCTCCTGGAAACAGGTATGGTCACCTACAGGGGTAAATGCTGTGTGATAGGGGCTGATCAGCTTCTCTGTATTGTTTTGGTGGGGAAAAGGCTGTTCATGATTGAATAATATTACCACAGTCACTTTTATTATTCTGTAAATATATATGCATAAAGCTTCAATCCTGAACAATGTGTTGAATAATTCTTTTGCACTGAAATTTCTTTAAACTTGGTTTCACATTCAGTAAAAACAAGATCGAGAAGAGCATTCTGTTTAAATGAAAGTGATATACTCTTTTTCTTTTTTTTAACATATATTTTGTTGCTTGTACTGCTACACTTTATCTATAGTTGCATACTTTAAACCAGTTTATTTGGTAATTATATCCTTGACTAGTAGCTTGGGAAGTCACACAGACTGAAAGATGAGCAACTGCTACTCTAATGATAATAGTGCTTTCTTACTGATGAAAATTCACCTGAAAATACTGTTAAGTGCACGAGTTTGAGTTACTGAATGTATATGATTTGTAATGCAGTAGGAGATGCTCTCAACTCAAATTGATTGTTGGTCTATTTTACATTATATTATAGATTTATGTTTGTTCATAGTCTTAAGTGCCTTTCATACATCAACTGGAAATGAAAATCAATGCTTATTATAGAAGGCTCTAAGAACTCATGTATATATACTTCTATCATTGATAGAAAATGTTTGTCTAAAACAATATCTCAGACTGAAAATGTGTATTTTAGCTACTCCACTGTGACGTGTTTTCTCTTCTGTGTGGATTTTGTTTCATAGTGACATTGAGCAGCTGAAGAAAGAACTGGATGAATTGGTCAGTGCTCTTGAAAAGCACTTCTTTCAACCAGAGAAAAACAATCTTCAACGAAAGACTGAGTAAAATAGAACAATTACTACCTTCATTGTTTTTGATGTTTTGGCAGCATTAAAAATGCATTATTTAACACGTAAGGATTTTTAGGACCAAACATCTGAGAACTCAGACTAAAAAAGACTTGTGCTTTTATTAAGATTCATTCTATATACTGTTGAATTTAGTATCTTGTTTTGAAAGGAAAGCATGCCTACCCTTGAAGGACCAAAAAAAGCCAGTGACCTTACAATCTGAAAGTTGCCTGCTAATGTACTTCAATCAAAACTTGTTTAATTAAATATTCCAAGTAATATCCTGACTTCTGAAAGGCAGCCTGTTTGGGGGAAAACTTTCTTTTGTTTGTGGATAATCTGATAACAATATGAAACTCTATCTAGGTTTAGATTTGCAAGTGCTGCTGTTAATAAGAACTGAAAGCCTGTGGTGAAACTTAGGTGAACTTAGGGCAAGTGTTTTAGAAATAGTGGTCTTTTGGTGGGGTCTTCAGCCCAAATAAACAAGGAAGCTACAGTACATTTTCTGGAGAGTGTCTGTTTGCTATGGGATTGGACTACATAGCAAACTCCATTAGAGATGCTCAGCATGCCAAACTCTTATTCCTTACAAGTGTGAAACATGCCTTTCAGTACTGTGAACATGTTGGGACAGAGTGCATCTACGTACACGTTTGTGCCACCTGACTGACCTGAGCATGATTAGGTCAGTGCATCCCCCAGTGCTGGATCCTGTCATGCTGTATGCTACAAGATTTTGCTGCATAACTCTGCGTGTTGAATTTAGAGCAGAAATTTCAATTTCATTTTGTGCTGTCATCTGTACTTACAGAGCCTGAGAGGGTTAGATAGTGGTTACCAATTGGCTTTGCTATACTTTTTTTTCCTTCTGCACTGGATATCAGTATGTAGCTCCAACAGCACAGGTACATCTTGGGAAAAGAAACCTCCTCACCGTAACTGCTTCTGGTATACCATGACAGTGCTTAGTTGCTAGGTCAAGCATAGATTAAATTTAGCAAATTATTCATCAGGATTCTAGCAAATACTGGGTTACCTTGTTGGCTAAGATGGTAAGGAAAGAATATTTGATGCCTGCTTTTGCCTTACAATCTTTAGAGCTATAATTGGAGGATAAAAGGAAAGGAGTAAGCCCTGCATTCTTTGGCTGATGCTTCAGTTTTTCTTGTCTGAAGAGTCAAAGCCAGCATCTGCACCATTCATGCTGGGGTCCATCTGTGTGGTACAGAAAACTAACTTTAAACAAGAGCGATAAGAAGATTACTAAGGAAAGGGCTTGTATTTTGAAACCCAGTGCTAGGGAAGTGGAAGGACAAACGTTGGGATGACACTTGAATTTTGCTCTCAGTAGGATTTAACATGTGGCACGTGACTTAACCACAGGCTGCCTTGCAAAATACAGTTTCTTGCATGGTACTTCATCCTGGGCTTCACTGAAAACAAATGGCTGTGCACAAGCTCCTACTTTAAACTGCCCACTGCCTGGTTAGGTGATGTTGGTCAATGCCTCTAAGAGCGACTTGGCTGAGGAACCCAGACACAGCATGATGGCTGTGAACTGAGGCTGAGGGATGCTATGGAAATCCAGCTGTGTTGATCAGCTTCCTGTGACATTCTGGGCTTCTCCTGTTACTTGTGGGTGATCTATGTGGCCAGATTCTAGCTGCAGGCATTAATTACTTCTGTCCTGCTGGGAATCTGTACATCAGAGAACATCAGAGCAGAGACACTGATGTTTTATCCAGAAATGGCAATTGCCAGGACAAGAATAAATAAAACTTGGAGCCTGGACTGAACCCAAGTGGCAGGGAATTCCTGGCTACTTCCAGAGAGATGCATCCCTAATTTACAGAAAATATGCAGAATGACTGTGATCTTTATAACAAGCTAACACTTGTAATTCCAACAAAAGTCAACAGCAGTTGTAAACATTTGATCCAGGAGGAAATTGTGCTTGTGAGGCTGGGAAGGAAATGCCTTGAAACTAAGGAGTACAATACTTACAAACTCTGCCATAAGAGTAAAAGCATAACAATGCTGTTGGACTGATGAATTTCATCTTAAAGTTATTAGTTTGTTTAGTAGTCACAACTTAACACTATCCTTGAATTTATTTTTATTTCAGTAAACAGTTTGGCCAGCAGGAAATATATTGATTTCATCTTCCTTACAGTCTGTGAACTTACTCCATGGCATATTGTAAAGCATGCAAGTATTGTACTTGAATTGCAGAAGAATTTATTTGAGACTTCTGCTCAAATTCTCTATTAAAATATTTAACATATAAGCAATTTTTTCATATTATACTCGTATGTTTAAATCTGTAACTAATTCACTTAGAGAATTTCTACAAATGAAGCTTCCTGCTTGCAATTGCTTTTCAAAGTTGTAATGGCTGTGGTTTTTCTTTTGACATACCGACAATAAGCAAACCTTATGTCCTAACGGAGCAGTCATTGTGAGCAGAGACAAGAGATGGGCAGCACCGTTCGTTCCTAAGATGCATACGTTAAGTTTTTACAAGATTGGTGACTTTCAAGATCTCATGGCTGAAGGCACCTGGATGCCAAATTTGGGTAAAATATAAAAATAATAAGTAATAAACACCAACAACACTTTGCCCACAGGTACAATAGTAATCAAAGGTAATCTTCGTTAAACTAAGTAGAGTCATTTTCTTTCCTACTGTTTCTTTGTACAATGTAAGCACACAAATTCACTGGGGGTAGTATTTCTGTTCAATTTCCAAGCAGCAGCCAACATTTCTGTTTTATACAGTGATTGGTGGGTGACTGAAATCAGGTCATGCACCATCAGAACACTGTGCATAATGGGATGAGCCTATTAAAATATCCAGTCCTGACCTAACTCTCACCTAAATAAAATGTAACTTAAAGACGGCATAGCAACAGCAGCTTCTGCACAAAAGGAGAAGCTTCAAATACTCTCACAACCCCTGGTAAGTCATTTTCAGGTGTATTTTTGGGAAAGAAGGGGGGGGGGGGGGGGAGGGAGAGGGTAATCATGAAATACAAAAGCATGAAAATACAGAGGCAGCAGGCAGGGTCTGTAACAGGAGCTCAACTCTTTCAGACTTTTTACTCATGATTACTGATAACTGAAAGTCTCTTGTCTTTGAAGATCACCAACTACTTGCTGTCATACCTTCTTACAGAGTAGGAAACAGGCAAACAGCTATTATAACAGTATCACTCAAATTTAATTTGTGGAACTTCTGGGACCATGTATGAATACCATCTGCAGATACAGTGTCACTGGATAAGAATGTGGTACTTACCCAGAGCTCATTTAAGTCAGAGGACTACAGAACATTCAGTATCTTGCCCTTAATGAGGTACTAAACAGATTTGCAGTACCCAAACACAAATAAAGACTTAGACTGCTTTGTAGAACAGCACTAGAAATTAATTCTTGTGACTACCAAGGGAGAAAAACAGAGATGCTGCTTCTAATGCAATTTAAGCACAGTATGGGTACCCACATTTCAAATGATGATTTTTACTTCTCAGCTGTTGCCCAGCTATGGAGGAAGTTCAGCTCTGAAAGTATCTGGGTGGAACTTTACAACTTCCTGTTTGCATACAGCTGTGCTTCAAAGGGAGCAGCCACAGCAGCCCCAAGTTCAGCTCCTGTCTGTGGCCAATGAGTTCAGCCTAAATTTCACTGTCTTCGTCCTGGTCTACAGTCCTACCTCAACTCAGGTCAACTGACTTGCTCATCCCTTGAGTAGACCACAAGGAACACTTTGCTGTCTCACAGCCTGCCTTGTACAGGCCTCATGCTGGGTTTTGTTGTCTGCTCAGGTTGCTATTATGTGAAGGGCAGCTGCGCAAAGAGATAATGGTGAAAATGGTATTCCATAGATCATGTTTGCAGTAGGTGGGAAGCCCTGGTTAATTTTTCTTGCCGGTCTGAAGAAGCATATGATGGTGGTATGTTTTAATAACTAGGCTACTGTAAAGAAAAGGATGCAGGATAAAGACTGAGAGATGTACTCTTTCAAAGAACTGAACAGAATTAGGAAGGCTGGTGTTCAGGGCTCTCACCTGAATGCAAACATTCTGCTTCTGTACATTATGTGTGTTCCTGCACATTACATGTTTACTTCTTATGAACTAGAACACATAACTCCCTCTTTGTTTTTGTCTTGTTTTCACAAACAAAATTTCTTTCCTGTATAAGTAGCCATTTCAACAGGAAATGGAGAGAAGGAATGCTGTCCAGCATATCCTTGATGCTCATTATTAGGAAAGTATCATGGGAGGTAGGTCAAACACTCTCATGGCAAGCAGAAAACCAAGAGATCTTCCTGCACCTTGGATAAATGTGGCACAGGTGTGTAAGACAGTTATCTGTTTGTTCTTCCTCAAGCATAGCATGTAAATACTTCAGGAAAGTGTGGCTGTTGGATCATGGCTTCTGTGAGGTGGGCCCTACAGCCTGAGACAGTCGACTTTATGCAGAACTTTATTTACTACTTTTCTGTATCATTTTAGGCAGCTTGTGGGGTTTTTACTACCCATGGGCTTTTTTCATACCCTGAATTTGCTTTTTCTTAGACCTCAGACTGTATTTTTTATTTTTACTACACCTTAGCAACAAGCATTATAGCAGATTGGCTTGGAGTAAAATGGGTCACTGTTCCTGAATTTGTCAAATGTAAACACTTCGAGTGCGTTTTGTCTATTTACTATAACAGTGATTTTTTAGGTCAACTTGAATGAGAAAGAGGATGTTTTCCAAAAGTGGAGCACATGGAACTATTTAACCAAGGTAAGTGTAGTTCTTATCTGAGGCATTTTACTTTGCCTATAAAACAGTGTATGACAATCTGACAAAAACTCTGCAAAGCAAAGAATCAAAATATGTGAGCTGGAGAGAATAGGAAAAATAAAAGAGGAACCTATGGTCCTATTTCAATCTCAGTCTAATTTCTTCCCTGCTATCAAGGAAGAAGAGAGGATTTGTATTTGTGGTGTTCTTGCTAGCAAGAAGCAAGAACAAGCAGCAGGAGGAACCTTGTAGGATCTGTATCTCTTTCACTGTCTGTTTCTGAAAGGCGAAAGCTTTTAAAAAAGTCTTCCTAAAATCACTGATAATTCAGAATGGATGAGCCTTGGCCAAAGTGCTGGAGCTGTGAGATTGAGGATGGCAGTTTGCAGCCTTCCATAACTGAAAGCAAAGATCCTCAGGCTGTCAACTTAAAAAAAAAGTATGAGGACAGACTTGTTTCAGACCTGAGGTTGGCAGCTGGTAGCTGGAGTGAGAGCACTTTCCTTAGCTGTGACGGTTTAAAGGGAACCTGTTATAGCAGGGAATGGGACGTGACCCCCCTGCGGTCCCTTCCAGCCCCTATCATTCAGTGATTCTCTTAAATATATGTAAGATGGCCAAGTTTTGCGGAGACGGCTTTCCTTTCCCCAAGTGGCGCCGAGGGTGCCACTGCAAACATAAGGCCTGTCCTCGTTTCTGCAGAAGCAGTAAGCTATGAACCAAGGGCAGACTGGAAACAGCACTCAGAGCACACTGCTGCTTTCATACTTCCACTCACAGGTCATCAATGCTATAAAAGTACACAGAGCTAACACAAGTCGTGTAGATGCAACCACCATGCGCCCTGCAAGTACAGGATGTGCTACACGTACCAAACCACCACTTGTTTTCCACAATCTGGGAAAACACCGTGCTTCACTTTGACAGCACACTTAATTATTTTCCTCACAGAGCACCACGCGTCCAGCAGCTCAGCAAATTTACTTGAGAACGTTTGATTCTACTTACTTAGATGTAAGTAATCAGTAGTCTCGCTGCCAAGAAGCCTTGAAATTAATTGAGCGCAAGAGCGGTTTGCGGGACTGGAGGGGAGGCCCCGACCATCTGGAAGAGCGCCGTCATCAAGTCTCCGGCTCCACTCGCTGCTGAGCCGCTGCGGGCGGCAGGAGGGGCAGCGGCCGGTGCCGGCCTCCCCAAAGGTGCGACGGGCCGGCCTCGCGGCGGGGCACTGCGGGAACGGACGAGGTGAGGCGGCGGAGGCTGCCCAGGCCCGCCGAGCTGTGGGCGCGGGGCCGGGCTCGGCTTGCTGAGGAAATATTCTTTAAAAATAACTCCGGAGTTAACTTCTGTGAGCTCCGCACCCACCCGCGCTTGTCACGGCGCCGCGACGGATTCGCGTTTTCTCCGCTGTGGCACGCGGGCGGAGAAGCGCCACAGAAGCAACGCTCCCGCGGAGCTGCCCGCTGTGGCGCCGCGGGTGCCCTCCTGTCACGGCGGGGGCCGGGCCGCGCTCCCGTCGCTCTCCGCCCTCGCCGCCTGTTGCTATTTTTACCGCCGATCCCACTGCGGAAGGAGGCGGCGAGCGGCAGCCGCGGGGCGCGAGGCACGGCCTGGCCCGCCGCAGGTACGGGCGGACGCTCTGCCCGCCGCCCCGAGCCCGTTAGCGGCTCCCGACCCTTCGCCTCCTCTCTCTCTTTCTCTCTCCCCCTTCGGCGGGAGCGGGCGGGCCGAGCTGCTCGGCGGGGACTTCTCGCAGCGAGCGCGGCGCCGGTAAGGGCGGCGAGGGGCGGCGAGGGGCGGCGGGGCCCGCTGCGGGACTGGACGGGACGCGGGGCGGTGGATGAGCGGCGTTGGGCTGAGCCGGGCCGCTGCTAGCGAGGGCGGGAGGAGGAAGAGCGGCTCTCAGCTCTGAGGAAGTGGAGGAGCTGAGGCGGCCGTGCATCCCGCCCGGGGAGCGTGCCGCGCTGCGGGCTGAATCGCGTTGCCGTCCCGCGCCGCACAGCTAGACTTTCCCTCCGCAAGAGAACGGGAGTTTCGCTTCTACAACCCCCCCACATCCCCACGCTGCTTCTCCGGCCCTTTAAATTCGCGTTTTACATTAACGAGGGAACGAGCTCATGAAAAGCGTGCTCAGGAGGGAACTGAGAAGCGGTTATTTATAGCGCGGAGTGAGGAGAACGCGTGTGCTGCGCTGCGCTGCGCGGGGTCGGCGGCACTGCGGGGCCGGGCGGGGCTGAGCCCGAGGTCAGCGCTTAGGCGTGCACCTTTCAGCCGCTCGACGGGTCGGGCCTTCACCTTCCTGAAAGTCAGAGGTAACACGTGAAAATAGAGATGTTTGCAGGTGAGAAAAGTGCCGGGTTGGAAGGAATGCGGGACAGAAAGAATGAGACGAGTTGGCACTTTTCTCACTTTGCACTTTGGTTAGCTGACAAGTTGGATGCGGGTGTTTTTGGCGTGGGTGTGCAATCGGACAAAGTGGAATGGCACTGAGGATGTGTGGGAGCTAGCAAGCTCCGTTAACAGGTTCCTTCGTTGCACTGTAAGGGTAGGAGCACCTGGTGCCTCATTTGGGTCAGTGCAAGGCTGGCTCAGGAGTATCCCAGTTCTGATCTCAGTCATCAGAATGCTATTTCTATGTGTTGTTATTAGCAATACATGTGAAGGGAAGGAACAGAAAACTCATGTCTGCGTTTGATACTTAATTACAAGCTTGTATGCTTATTATCAGGAGTATTTTTTATTTTGCTTGCCTCTTTCTTTATTATTTATCTACTTAGATATATATAACCCATTTGGGAAGTAAAATAACTGCTGGCTGTATAGGCAGGTATCTCGGATGCAATGTTTACCACAAAGCCAATTGATTTTTTCAGTATATATGGTAAAACGTTACTTATGGCCTTAACCAAATATGCTAAAGGAGTTGAAAGGACTTGTAAAGAAGTCAGAACTTAATGCATGTTTATGTGAAAAAAGAATGGAAATTGCCAGTAACTTCTGAGGCAGATTGACTTCTGGGTTTGTACTTGTTGCCCACTGCACGTAATTCCAGAAGGAAGCAGCAGAAAGGAAGGGGCTATCAGGTAAAATAACCGTGTGAAAGAAGAGTATTTTATGATTCCAAGTGCCAGTGTGGTTTAAATGAGAGCTGTTTGAAAATGGGGAGCAACTTGTGGTATGCTATCTGGCCTGTTTCTTCCAGTGAAGTAAGGCTGCTCAGGAGAATTGTCTGGAGCTGGAAGATGATGAGGCCTGCAGCTAGCTGCCCCACCATGCAATTTAAGGGATGCTGCACTGTGACACTGGAGAACAGTTTCTTTTTGTGCACGTTGATGAAACCAGAGAAGGATCTCTTCTTAGCAGTGACCGTATCAAGATGTACCAGCATATATTTTCATTTGTATTTTCCTGCCTTTCCTGCTAGGAGGATAGGGAAATCTGTCAGTGTGAGGGAAGCCAATGTAAATCTCGGTCAGGGATCAGACGGAGGGAGAAGAGTGGTATTTTGCTCTGGCTTGCTTTCCAGTGTTCTGGCTGCAGGCCAGGGCTCCTCATAATCCCCAACTAGGATGATATTTCTGCTAAAATAATCAGTGGTGAAGTGCAGGCAGTACCAGTGCCTTTGGCTCCATTTATCGGTCATGTTCAGTTCTAATGCTGTGCAGGGAAGAGCTGAACTAATCCATGTTCTTTCAGATCAGCTGTTCTTCACAAGACCTTGCTCTGTAGTTGGAAGTGCTTCTTAGCTTCTTCAAGGGGAAAAAGGAAATAGACTCATGGAAAGAAGCAATGCTGTCAGCAACTTGGTGTGTAGTAACTGCACTATTGTCTCTTGGATGAACCCTGAAGTTGGGGAAGCTGGGTCTTGCAGCTCAGCAGCTCACAGACCACACTCCTCATTTAATCACTGGTGTGCAGATGTACTGCCTGCTGCCTTGCCTAACGTGCCTTGTGACTCATTGGTGCTGCTGTGGGTCCTGGTACTCCAGATGCCCCTAGGGGGGAGAGAGAGGAAGGTGGTGGAAAGCAAAGGATGGCTTTGATCAGCAGTTATGTGTGCGCTGAGAGTCTAAAACTTCTGGCTGTGTCATTGTATTGAATTTATTCTAGTCCAGAAGAAACAAGGGATGAAGGATAACTCCTCACCACTGTAGCAGTTACTGCTTTTCTTGATTTGTGTGTGTCTTCTTGGTTTAGGACTGTCTCTGTGCCCTTTTTGCCTTGTTTTCTGTAGTAGCCTGACTACGTCTCAAAGCTGCTCAAACACATATATTGTGTTGTGTTTTGTTTTTTTTTAAGCACTGTGTCAGGTTTTCTAGTACAGGCCTATCAGCACTGTGTCACATGCTGTCTGAGCCTGCTTCTTGCTTGTGAGAAGCAGTTGGGTTGATAGCATCAAGGGAAAAGCTGAGGACACAGAGCGCATCTATGTCCCCATGTGTATCTTTTCTGTTAGTGGATAAGTCTAGTGGCTTCTAGTTTGTGTGGTGTGGTTTGATTCACTAGCACGGCTTTGCAGGGTTTGTTAGAGAAGAATTCAGTGATACCTGACTTGTGACAGTCTAAAATTACTGCTGAGGCAGGCAATTCTAGATCATAAAATCAGAATCACAAGGTTGGAAAGATCATCTGGTCCAACCATCCTCCCATTACCATTGCTACCACAAGCTACCAGGTCCAACATGCAATATCTAAAATGTTTCATTATTTTACTGCTTTTGTTTCTATTAATGTACTGCAATGTCAATGTCTCTTGTTCAGAGATATTACAATTAAAGGGTCTGGATGATAAACACTTCCAACAAATGTGGAGGCCATCCAGTACTCACTATTTTGTGCTACACTTTGCCTGATCGGATTTCATGCTGATGGAGCACCTACAGCTGTACCAAAGCAGGTTCAGTACTGACAACGTTAAAGTACAGTTTGGAAACTATTAAGACTTCTGAGAGTTGGCTGGGAAATACGAATCAAGCTGATGCCATGTGCTTCTCAGCAATAAGTGCAAGGGGCAGAAGAGGTGCTGAGCTTCAAGAGATGGTGATAGAGAGAAGCAAGAGGAACCATTCCAGCAAGCACTGGGAGGAGAGCTGCAGGGATGCAGAGCCTTGCAGAGCTCTTCCAGCTGCAGGAAAGTGGGTGGTGAAATAAGCCTTGAAGAAGCTGTTTGTGAGTTAATCACTCAAATGCTGGAGAGGAAAATGTGATCTATGTGAGTCGTCTTTACTGGTACAGGTAGTGAAGGCACCTGCAGAGCCAAGTTTTGGAAGGGATGAGCTGGGTGATAGCAGCCAGAGGAGGATGAAATTGCTGCAGTGATAAGTAGCAGAGCCAAGGGCAGAGACTGGCCCAATGCACTCTTCGCTCATGATGTGTGCTTTGTTTTTTGGCTAGCAATAGGCCTGCTAAGGTGAACAAAACTGTAGGTCTAAGTTAAGAATGTACACAAATACTCGAGTTACTACCTAGTCCTTGCTGTAAATTGAAAGGATGGTACAGAAGCTAATGTGCAATTGGTATGATTTTCTTGGTGGGACTGGCATGTAAGTTAAGATCTAGATGTGAGTAGGAGGAAATGACTGGGAAAAGCAGGTGGCATATGCAGAAAATTAACATATAGAAGGCTTTGGGTTAGGTGTAGAGAACTCTTGATCCTGAATTTGACCTCTGAGAAGCTGCACTTCTAGCTTCTCAGTGTTAGAAAATACAGCCTTCTAACATCCAGCTAATTGTTTTGATTTTAGTATGAATTATTTTTCTTTAAAAATAACAAATGCAAAGGATGAAGTATTTATGTTGTCAACTTTGCAAGATGTTTATTTTCTTTAAGAAGAGATGAATACTGGGAAGCTTTGCATTTATCTTAAATACTTTCCAACAATACAGTGTTTACTTAAGTATGACAGAATATTGACTTTTTTAAAAAGAAAAAGAAAACATGTTCAGTCCTTATGGTTGGCACTCAAAATGATGTATTATGTTGTGATCTTTACTCCTATTTGAAGCTGCAGTGCCTCATAAGTCTGGATAAAAAAGCATGGTAGTACTCCAAAGAAATTATTCTTCCTTGAAAAGTTGACTCAAATTAAGTTGACTACAAATGACTTTGTATTTTTAAGTGCATAGCTTTTTTTTTTTTTTTTTTTTTTTGCAATTAATTGCATTGAGAAATGTAGTTACAAGTAGGATGTGGTTGATGGGTCATCATTTGTT